TAGCCACCAACCCATGCAAGAGTCGAATCAGCAGCCTTGTTGTTAAGAACGCATGCTCTATCCACTGAGGAATCCGGGTGGTAGCTTAGCTCAGCTCAAGGTGCCAAGTTCAGTCTTAGTTTCGGGCCGGCATAGCCCACCATTGAATAGGCAGTCTTATTGTTAGGAGCACGTGCTCTCACCAGCTGAGCCATCCTACCACCTGTTGGCAGCTCAGCTCAGGTGCAGCGTCACTGGCCCATGTGGGAATCAAACCGGCGGCCCTGTTTCTCAGAGCTCACGCTCTTAAGCTAACTTTTAACCAACTGAGCCAGTCGGCCAGCCCCCAAAAGGTTCTTTTTAACCTTCCCTCTTTATTTATAATTTATTTCTACGACAGTGAGAAGAAACCCAGTTCTCATTATCTACAATTTATTTACTTACTTGTTCAGTTCAAGTATACACATAGACTTGTTGCTAACCCATTCCACTTTGAGAAACACTGTTACTAACTAGATTACAGCACTCATGTACAGTCCTTTTTGTCTTTAGCCTTGTAGAATCCAGTCAACATATTGTTTTCCATGGCTACTTAGGTTTGCTCTTTTCTTCCCCCCACTTTTCAATGCAGTTGTTTTCTTAATTTGTAATACTGTTAGGTTCATTTGTTGTTTGTATTCCATTTTGGGTTCCCCCTCTACCACATTATATATGATTTCAATGGTTTGTTTATTTGGGGGCTATGTGAAACATTACTATGGTTTTGTGAGCCAGCACTCTACAGAAAGATACACTCAGAGAAGTGTCACCGCCTCTTCATCAATGCTACCGTATTTCCATTCCCTCCTTCTTTCTATCCTTTTCCCACCTGCTCCCTGTAGGTAACCAGTTTCTTTAGTTTCTGGCTTATCCTTCCTGCATTTTTTATTTTTTGCACAAATGAGATACACATGCATTTTCTTATTCCTCTCCTCTTTCTTATATGCAGGATAGCATACCACATGTATTTTTTTGAGCTTTGTGTTTTTCACATAACAGTATGTCCTGGAAATCACTTCATAGAGCTCTTTTTCATTTTTTTATAGCTTTGCAGTATTCCACTATATGANATTACATGGAAATATAGTAATCAAAATATTTTAAACTGTGAGATAATATATGTGTCTGATTACTACATTAAATAACAAGATATAGCAGAATACATAATAACTATTGCAATTTCAAGTATGCAAGGGTATCCTGGGAAGAGATGATATTCAAGTTATCTTCAACAACTGTAATGTGATATGAAAATCTGTGTGCTTTCCATTGGTGACCAAGTCACAAGTACTACTAATATTACTGTGGATTGCTGCCTTATTCATAATGGAAGGAAATACTAATTTTCAGTTAGCAATTAGTGAAAATAAAGATGTAATGTCTTCCCATCCAAGTTTATGGACACTTTAACGTCGAGGAATTGATTTTCACAAAAGAGAGAGTAGGAAGAACATTTAGGAGGCTAGTGACCATCCAGCAGGTGATGAAGGAGCATTGGAACCAGGCAAGACTGTATGAAGGGGAAAAGGGTGATAGACATGTGAAATAGCTCAGGGGTAGAACCCCAGAAACACAGAGATGGAGGGTGAAGAACAGATTAAAGATGACCTCAAGATTTCTAGCACACCTGAGTGGATGGATTAAAATAAATGTTTTAGATCTTTTAAAATCTGATACATAATATCTATTCTAATTAAGATTACTGAATTCCTAAATGAATTTTATAAAACAATGATGATAACAGTAACAAAGATGATGAGCATTAGAGAAAAGAACAGAGTATGAAAGATGAATAAGAGAAAGAGGAAGAATGGAGATAAGGAGATCATTTAGATTACAGTAAAACCCAACTCCAAATATCTCCTTTCACAGCTCCAATTTATTCANATGTATGTATGTATATATGTATACACATTTTAAGGAGCATAGGGAAGATTACTGGAAGCTAAATTAACACTCTAAAACTCTACTGCTGGTTATATGAGGTTGGTATAATATCAGTTTTCCTTTCCAGATTTCCAAATGTGACTAATATAATTTCAATAATTTTAAAATGCAATAGAAATTATCAAGAAAGTAATATGCACAGCATTACTAGGAATTAAGTAGTAGAAACACTGTCCTTTCATCAAAAAATGCTAATATAGTTAAAGAAAGGAGTTAAAAATAAGACAGACAAAACCATAAGAAAACAAAGAATGAGCCTGACTGTATGACTTGAAAGCTAATATAGTGAATGAATAGGAGGGCACAGGTAAGGTTTCTGAGGGAGGTGAATGGAAAGGAGGGACAGAACTACGAAGGCTGGAACCAAGGCCCAGAAATGGCAACGCACAGGACACTGGGCAATGGTAAGGAGGCCAACATGGCCACAAGCAAGGGACTGATCACGCTGGTGCCCAGACAGGCCAATGGGGAAAAAGGGTCCTCAAGTGGGATGGAGAAAAAAGCCTACAGCTTATAAAATAAACATCTGCTATACCATAATGACCTTACCTGTGAGTAAAATTATATCTCCAAGAAACAATGTAAGTGCCCAAAATGCAGCAGTCCTCCACAGAAAAACCTTCTTTTTAATTTCTGATTGGTCAATTACTACAATCGTTGCTAAAGGCACTTTAGAGCCAGAATTTGGTCCAGATTTTATAGTTATTTCTTTCACATGACATGGAGATAACACCATGACTAAACAATTATACTTCTGGTTTTCAGAATCACAGTTTTTTATTAATGATGTTTTTTTAATACCCTTAAATCCAGACACGTTCCTCTGGTCCCTTGCTACAGCCTTAGAAGCCAACTTAATTTTCTTAGATACTTGGAGGACTTTTGAGAGAGCCTTAGGATGGCCCAATTTATCTTCAGGGGTCCCATTTCTTTTACTAGAACGTTTGTGGAAGGTATTTCGTTGGGAACACAGTATCCCTGAGCTACATAACTCAATACATATCTCATTTGGTGGCAGCTTATCTTTCAAACAGAAAAGTTCTTGAGATCCTATATTTTCTTCGAGACCTTCATCAGAGTTTATGTGACTATGGCTACTTTTTGTTTCAGGACAGACAGGACTAAAAAGTTCAAGGGAATGTGCTTGGTTTTGTCCACTCTCGTATCCTTCTGCAAAATCATCATCAGGCTGAATCAAATTATCCTCAGGCATTTTTACTTCTCCATGACTTGCTTTTGGTTCAATCTCCATGTTTGTGGTCCCTTTATTCATAGAATTTTTCCCTTTATACTTCCTTTGAGCTAGAAAAGCAACCTGGCTGGAGGTCATTATACTGAGAAATTCAGTATCAGTAGATACCTTAAAGTCTGAGACCTCCCTAACTGCTCCCTCAGACCTTGGTTTACCTGCTGTGTTAGAGGAAAAGACCTCCAGACACTGGTTTTGTATTTCATTTTGTTCTGTTGGTGCACACTTTGTTTCCATAGCTCCTGGCCCTATATTAATCTGTTCAGTACTACAGACCAAATCCAATATAGCTGCACATTTACGGTCTAACTGAAAGGAATTTTTTTGGATGTTTTGACCACATATATTTGATTGATCTTTATGCTGTTCATCTGTGATTTTCTTATTTTCACTGGAAAGCTTTTGACACTTTTCTTCTTCAGTTAAATGCTGAATTCTGCCCTTAAATCCACATATTTGCACATCAGAGTTGGTTAGATCACTCCTCCTTAAGGGGTGACTCTTCTGAAATTTTATAGTCTGTGTTTCAGAAATGCAATGTATAAAATCATCTTTCACATGAACAGACCTATTCATGGAGTTTGCTGGAAAATGACCATTAAGAGGATCTGGAGGGCCAGGAGCTTCCAGGATTTGATAGTCTTCAAGATTTTTGTGCTTGCAGTTTTCATTCTTCAGATGTAAAGAATGTGGATTATATAACAGTTGAATTTTTTTCCAGGGGCCAGCAGTGGACATCAAAGGAGTTGATTCCTGTGATACTGTCATTTTCAATGGACCAATTGGAGCACCCCAAAAAATGTGGACTTCAGATCTTCTACTCATGGTTTCTGAAAAAAATGAAAAAACTAAACTCAGTATTTTGTCAGTAATTTTTACATATTAATATAAACTTAATAATGTAGCAAAAGGAATGTAATATAAACTATTAATGAAAACCAATTAATAGAGGCCATTTATACTGATACTCTACTTAACTATAAAACTCATAAATATATAAGAAATCATAAGGAGAAATCAAAATATCCACAAAAATATCCTTACATAAAGACTCCTTTTAGAACAGGCGAGCAGGGGAAGAGGGAGGCCAGAGGCGTGGAGGCGTGGGCCTCAGAGAGCAGATCAGAGAGTGTTCGTTCCCGCAGCTCGCTCCCTGTGCCTCATGGCCCGCCTAGAGAGCAGCAAGAGCCGCGACNATGTATTTCAGTTTTGTAAATTCTATTTTCATTCTTACTAAATAAAAACAATACTCTCCAGCAAAGTTGTTTAGAAAACATTCTGTAAAATTACCATTTTAACTCTAGCTTTTTCTAATGTGTGTATATACTTTAAATACTAAGAAATTATTACACTTAAAATGTGTCTTACATTCTTCAGGCTGGACAGATGAATAACTACCAAGGTTTAATAACTGACTGGTAAATGTTGATTGTAGTATTTTCTCACCAACCCAATGATCTTCATGAATAGTAACATCTAGAAGGGGGAAAACAAAAGTTTGGTCATACCATAAATTCCTTCACACTGAAAAATATTATGCATGCCTCCCACATGCCAGGCAACTAAAGTTTTCAAATATGTTAAACGATCTACCTAACAGCACAAAATGGTAACATAGCAAATCAGAAATCTGAACCTAGAAATGTGTGTATGAGTATGTAGGTAAAAATTTAAAAATTGCTTCTGTATATTCAAACAATATCAATGTAGACCTCACCGATCCATAGAGAGCGGTTTAATGGCTTTTATTTACATAAGAAAAGTGTTATAATGTATATTTCTGATGAAAGTATATCATTCAAGGTTAAGAAGCAAAGTAATGGCTCCAAAGCAGTAGTGCCTAGAGGAGTAAAAATATTCGGCATGTATTTACCCCTTCTGCTATAAACACAGATGAATATAATAAAGGCATTCTTAAAGAACTTTGAATATTTTTCTCTAAATAGCATGGTAATCATCTTCTCTGGATATTAAAAGGAAAAGACTTTAGAGGTAAGGAACACTTTCCAATGGGGGAAAAAAGCACTGTACGATCTAAGATAAAGAATCATTTAGTGGAACTAAACATACCAACAGGTAGAAAGAATCCTAAGTACAGCAAAAAATAAGACAGATAGAGATATTGATCCCAGGTGGGATATAATCAGTGTGTAAAATGTTAGAGGTATAAAGATATACTAACAGCAGCAAAATAATTTTGAGATAAGAAAAACAAGGATGCATCAATTCCAAATAAGTATTTCCAAATTTATATCCCAGACTCTCTCCTCAGCTTCAAATATCCATTTATCCAGAACTGCCTAATGGACATTCCTGACTGGATATTCTATTGGCTCCCCAAACTCAGCATTGCTCAAACCTGCTTTTCTTCTCCTATTACCCATCTCATTTGTTGGCACTATGCTGCTAGCCAGGTAAATTAAAATGTGAAGTCACCCTGAACTACTGCCTCTCCCTTTCCACCTGTCACCAACCTTACCTGCTGACTCTGCCTCCTGACTCTGCCCACAGCCCTGCCACTGCTACTGCTGACATCATACACTACCCTCTCTCTTAGCAGGTCCCTTCCCCCAACTCCAACACATGTCCCACAAAGCTAATGAGGGATTTATCAAGAACATTAATGTGATCTGTTGTTGACTTGCTTACAAAACACTCAGTGGACTCCCCACTGCCTGGCCAAGAGTAGCTAGCACAGCACTCAAGGCTTTTCACAACCTGATATTCAGAATGCCTCCTCTTCAGAAAGTAAGAATTTTCAAGGAGCGCTTTCTGAAAACTAAATTGTAAAACTTATGTCGATTAGTGACGTGTTAATTATTAGTGATAGGGTGAGGGAATGGATGGCCCAGCCCTTGCCTCCTGGTTCTCTTGCCCACCCACTGATAGGCCCAGTTCCTCTTCTGTTTGTTCTTTAAACACTGCAGTTTCCCACAGTTAAGTTCCAGGTCCTCTTCTCTCTTAACTCATCAGTTGTCTCCCTTAGACAGTCCTTGCTTGCAGAGTATCCTTTTTCTATTGCTAAAAGTATACAAGTAACAGCAAAACATCACTGTTACTGAATGGAACATGGCCTGGCATATATTTGTTACACAGAATTTTTCAGTTTGGGGTGTATAATCAGCAGGTAGCATGAGATATCCAACACAGAGATAGAATAAAGTACAATCGGATGCTATTAAATACAATGGAATTTCACCCATAAATTTCTATGTAAATGCAATTTCACTACTTAATTGGGACAACGGAAAAGTAGATTTCTCTTTTTTCCACAAAGTTTCCATGTGTGCCACACAAACAAAAGAAACTTATTCAGAAATTGGTGAACTAGATACCTTTATTTATAAGGAAATAAGGCAAAACAGAAAAAAAAGGATATTTAGGGATGGCCAGATGGCTCACTTGGTTAGACGCAGTGCTTATAACACCAAGGTTGCTGGTTCGATTCCCACATGGGCCACTGAGATGCGCCCTCCACTAGATTGAAATGGCTGCTTGACTCAGGTCCTGGAGAAACACACTGTTCCCCAATATAAAAAAAATTATATTTAAAAAAAGGTGCTCATAGAAATAATCTAAATAGCCTATAAAAAGAAAATGGTTAAGTGGACTGTGGTAAAGGCACTTAATAGAATGTTACTTAGCTGCTGACAACTGTATGGAAACCAGGAAAAATACAGAGGTAGCAAAGCTGAGTTTCCACCTGCTCAGAAAATGCCTCCCATGAGGCTCTCACAGTAATTGCCTTAGTAAAATAACCATGTCCAGGGTCCAGCCCTCTCTTTACAGTCTGGGGAACCTGAGTTTGTCAGCATTCCAAAAACAGATTTCAGCTCTGCAACTGGAAACTCACGTTAAACAAGTTAATGAGACAAAAAACAAAAACAGAACACATTTTTTTTAGGGTACAGTGGGGCATTAATTACCAAAGAAATAATACTTGCAGCCTATTCTCACCTTACAGGCAGTTTTACACCTGGGAAGCCAAATCATGATCCAAGGG